AGACGTTGTTTTGCGGCATAACTATAATAGTTAGACATATGTTGTCCCGACATTTTTTGTAAATAATAATGTGTTCTACAAAGTCGTAGTACATTATTTTATTCTATCATCAATAGTTTTCGCAGGGCACGCGATGTAAAGAATATTTTAGGTAATTATTTTACACCTTGGGTTACATTATTGGAGTTTTAGTGAGGATCCCTAATTTTTTTCAAAAAAGATTATAGCCTATGTCACTCGGGAATAGTGCAGCTTCCAAACAGTGAAAGAATCTTTCAAATCGGTACAGCAGTTCCGGAGCCTAGTCAATACAAAATAAATCTTTCCTCTTTATAATAGTATAGTATAGTAGAAGTATAGATTATCTTTTTTTAACTTCAGCAGTTTGTGGACATCACCGAAACAGGTTTAGGTACGTTCGTTTAGTGTTTTTTTCGGGTTTCACATGTCCTAAATATAATTAAAACTGCTTTTACGATTTAATCTCTCGCGATTTTTATTGTCATCAATTAAATTAATTGTAACGCTTCGAATACTGTTGTAATAAGCATCTGTCTCTCATTAATCTAACACAGTGACTGGTATGGTTGCGGTTACTCAGTTAACATTATTTCATTATTTATTGTATTAGTTCTTTTATTAATTTTAATTTTATATTAGTAGTTGACAATTTTAATTTCAATAATTTTGATTTGGTTTAATTTTTGTTTGTTTTTGTTTTTAGTCATTCTGATAAATTATAATTTTAATTTTATTGTATTTTGATTTAGATGTTATGTAATTGTATGTGACATTTTATGGGCTTAAGTTGCCTGAAATAAACGCATTTCATTTCATTCATTCATTTACGGTTTTCGTGGTCGCGAACACGTTCAGTGTATGTACTTAGTGAGAGTGTTTTAACGTTATCGATAGCGTAAAAGTTAACCACACGGGCGGACCGTAAGCTCATTCACCCGCCTCAGCAGTAAAATCTATATATAATATATATAAAAATGAATTGCTGTTCGTTAGCCTCGCTAAAACTCGAGAACGGCCAGACCGATTTGGCAAATTTTGGTCTTGAATTATTTGTCGAAGTCCAGAGAAGGTTTAAAAGATAGATAAATACGAAATGGTTCGGAATTAAATAAAAATAACAATTTTTTTTCCATTGATGTGTCCCCCGTCGGATGGTTTCCTTTTGTTTGTTTCAAGTTTATTTTATACAAAAGTTTAGGTCTTTTATTTATCGATTGAGGCACTACGAAGTCTGCCGGATCAGCTAGTAATTAATAATAATTTGACACTAGTGTATGATTAGTAAGTTTGTTGTAAGCGTTAGATTATAAACGTCATTTGATTAGTTTCCTCACGAGTTTCTATCCGAAATCTTCTAAGTGGATCGTCAATCAAGAAGATCTTCCCATCCGGTGGTAGATTCTCTCAGTCTAAGCCCACTGAGCTCGTCCACCAGTTATGGTGAATCCAAAATATGCAGTGGCTTACTTATGCCCCTTGCTAGANTGATTAGTAAGTTTGTTGTAAGCGTTAGATTATAAACGTCATTTGATTAGTTTCCTCACGAGTTTCTATCCGAAATCTTCTAAGTGGATCGTCAATCAAGAAGATCTTCCCATCCGGTGGTAGATTCTCTCAGTCTAAGCCCACTGAGCTCGTCCACCAGTTATGGTGAATCCAAAATATGCAGTGGCTTACTTATGCCCCTTGCTAGACAATATTTATTATATATATTATTATATATACCCTATTACTTATATGGGTGGACGAACTCACAGGCCACCTGGTGTTAAGTGGTTACTGGAGTCCATAGACATCTATAACGTAAATGCAAATTATAATTTTGCGGGTTTGATTTTTATTACACGGTGTTATTCCTTCACCGTGGAAGTCAATCGTGAACATTTGTTAAGTACCTACGTATTTCGTATACGAAAAATTGGTACCCGCCTGCGAGATTCGAACACCGTTGCATCGCTACATAGGTACGAATGCACCGGACGTCTTATCCTTTAGGCTACGACGACTATAAACGGCTATTTGGTTTAAGCAACCTTTCGCTTAATACGCGACATTTTGACTTTATATTAAAGTTGTGTTTTATTTGGTATTAGCATCAACAGTTCGATGTTTTTAATTGAACTTCTTTTAGTTTACTCCATTAGAATAGCTAAAGTTTTTTTTTTGTTATGATATTTTATCCAAGTTTTAAGCTTTAAATGACTCTCCTGTAAAGTGGAAAATGTCGCTTAAGCCTTTCACCCTTCGATATAAACAATGTATCGGGTATGTAATAAACGTGAGATCGATACATGAAAAAAGTTTTTAATCGTTATCGAAAAAGGTCAAACCAAAAATCACAGCACAAACGATCTCCGTGTACATAATCGTCATAATCTCCAGACCCCGTTTATCTCGTACGTAACGATTGGATGCTGCGCTGTACCGCGCGCGCCACGCCTTAAATTTTGCCGCCAATCCGCGGCCGCCATCTTGTAATTCGAGAGTATTCCAAACATATTGAGAGATCAGATTTATGAGGGGGACGTGTTAGGTATTTTAGGTACGACGAGGGTTAACATTTACGATATAATAAATATATAATAATAAGATTTAATAAACTTACTGAGAAGTACCCAGTTTGTTCCAGGTGAAAGTTCATAAGTAGGTAGCACACAGATATAATAATATGTAGCATGAAATTCTTTACGGGTTTTTTATGTTAGACTAGTTAAAGTTATTATATTAAAAATTTAATACAGTAGGTATAATAATATGTGTTTATCATTTAGTCGCCCTGATCGAATTGTTTAATCAAGTTTTATCATTGGAAATTGACATACATGTGGTCCGTAGACATCACAAGGTGAATGCCGTGATCCACCTTGAGAGACACGGGTGAAGTCTTCATTGTGTTTTTATATTGCCTATCCTCCTTCCCTCCTTCAAATTGGGTTGGTAACTGCTTCGAAGCAGAAATAGGCAGAGTGGATTTATTTACCCGTGCAATATGAATTTGATTTTATGTCTCAAGTTGGGTAGGCTCCGATAACCATTCGTAATCATCTAAGAACTAAAAAAATACGTAAAAAATATTATTGTAAAATAATATATCATATGACCCTGATAAGTAACATAATATATTATTATATGGGCGCAAACGCCACTATTGGCAATAATTAACATAATAATATATAGTTTAGTTTATTCTATGTTAATATTCATTTATTATTAGCAAGATAAAACTGTTATTCTAGCATATTTAATATTTAGCAGACACTGTTTTGATGTGAAAATGTTCAGAATATGATTATTGTTTATATTATTGCTTTAATAACACAAATGACTGTAAATAATTAAATATTAATAAAGCATTAATATTAATAATAATTGATATTATAATTAACAGTAATTAATTAATTAAGTATTGTAATTGTTCTGCAAATGATGTTAGCGCCATCTATTATTAGGCTGGATAATAACAATGTTAGTTTATATTAGTTAAAAGCAATTTATGTAAAATAAATTAATGTCAGTCATTTAAAAATCACTAAAATATGTATTGTGAATATTAAGCTATATTTTGTGAATTATTTCGCAGTAATTACATTCGTTTGTATAAAAGAAGTTGTAGTTACTATAACCATCACAAAATGGCTATTAATTGTGTAAGAACCACTGAATAACTAAGACGTGACTTTTTATTGTAAACAAATAATGTTAAAGTTTTATAGAATTGTATTGTATTTTCATTGTAAAAGAACTTATGTGTGAAAACCCTGGCTTAACGTCGACATATAAGTTGAATCATACAAACTGCCAACCACTATTGATCGCAAAATTCCCTTGAGTTAAAATACGCCATCTACTGGATAGTTATTACATTATGGTTTTTCATTTTGTGAAACGTCAAACAACAAAACCTTTTTTCATTGAAAACGAATATAATAAGTAAAATAATAATAATAATAGTAGTACCCATAAAGTAGAAGTAATAACTGAAATAAATAATTTGTAAAATAAAAAAATTAAGACAATTAGTTTAGTATTTCTACTTGGCAACAGATGGCGGCGGTAAGCAATCTTTCAATCAAATTTAGGAACATCTAGTAATTTATTATGTACATGTAATTTATATCATTCGTTCAATTATAAACGCTTTTATTATTAGTACATATTCAATTAAGTATATCCCGAATAATCGCATTCAGTTATCAGATTTAAAGCACTTTTAAAGTAAACAGTTACTTACCATATTTACCACATAAGTAGGTAGTGAATATAATTATATTTTAGATTAAGAATAATTTGCACTGGCATCTACTATACAAAATGACCACAGAAATTGGAATTTATCATTGGAAACTTGGCGATGTTGCTCTAGCAAGAATGTGCAGAAAAGTTTACACCAGAGTGAAAGTTATCAAAGATCATAAAGGATTATTTTATGACGATAAAGGTAAATTATAACTTATTTGCCTATTGCTCGCAAAGTACAATTTTACAAATAAGTTACAATGTGGAAATGTTCAATTCTTACAATTTTGTAGCTAATACCCAATGATGTTATAGTAAAAATAACATCATTGCTAATACCGTAATTTGTTACAAAATTGTCTGAACAACAACTGGGTAACAAATATATTTCAGAATACAAAATTGCATTCGGATTCTCTTCAGCAATTTAATTTCATGATTTTGGCAATGTCATACAAAGCGCAAAATAAAATAAAATAAAATAATGTGTACATATCTGTTCGCAAAATTAATAAGAATTGCGACAACTAGCGCCATCTGCCACATTCAGTAGTAAACTATTAAAACAATAGCAGTGCTATTATTTTTTGTTTTCATTTTACGTAGATACTATGTTATTGTTATACACAAGAAAAACATTGTCTTGTTACGCCTGTACTACATAATAATATAACGAATTTATTAGGAAAAAAAATATTTTTATTCATCATATACTTTAAAAAAAAATTAAAAACTTAATTTACAGCATTAGGAATCTTCGGAAGTGGAGATGGTAATATTACCGTGAATTGGGAACTCTGTTACTATGTGGAGACTTGTACAACTAAGCAAAGACTATGGTTACCGTACACATGCATGTTTCTCGCTGAACGTTCAAGACCTTTCTATGGACCTGCTGATAAAACACCAAAGAAGATATCTCCTGAGAAGACCCCTAGAAAGGTAAAAATTTAATGTAACAGATTTTCTGCTAGCCAACTAAAGTTTACCTTATGTTAATAAAATGATTATCCTGTACTATTTTAAACTGTCCAAATAAAATATTGGAAAGGCTGTTTAGAAGTAAACCATAATACTAATAAACCTATTGTAACACTCATCATACGATGATTAAGCAATTTAAGTAAGATATAATAACTTTATTAAAAATGAAGTATCATAATGAAGAAGCTAGCTTGTGTGAGCAGTTTTGGAACAATTAACGCTATGCTTATCATGATCATTATCTACAGCCCTTTGATATCTACTGCTGGAAATAGATCTCACCTTTTTCGATCGCCCATCATTCTCATCCAAATCTGCCCCTCCGTCCTGTATATGTCATTGGTCTTAAATGCTATAGAACTTCAACATCCCTACAACTAATCTCGGCCACTTTTCCATCTCTGCCTTACTCCATCTATTATCATTTCGTGAATATTGACTATCTGGCAACTTAAAAAATAGAAATCATAAGATTTGAACTTGACAGCTCAGACGATAAACTGCTGGACCACAAGTTCTCATCTACAAATTATCATTTTTGCAATGTTTTTTTATGAATTATTATTATTGTATATTCCAGAGAAAGCTAAAGGAAGACCATACATTGCCTCTCGGAGTCAGACCTCACAAACTAAAGGAACCGGATTTGAACACAACATACGACATCACACATGTACCACTAAAGCAAGGAAAATGCGAGAACGCTTTTAAGGAATTTGTGCGGAGAGGAAAAGAAATGATTTTTGATGAATATTTTTACATTTTGCAAAGTAACAATCGTACTGATAGAGACATGTTAGATTATTTGTTGAACATTGATGCTAGTACAGAGGATAAATTTGAGACGGTACTGAAAAATGTAGCTACAGAGAAAGAGATCGAGAACTACTTACATCAGTGCTGGAGGTACAATTACGTACGTAAATCAGAAAGTAAAGAAGTAATTGAAAGTACTGTAAGTATATATTACAATTCATTTTATTACTTATTATGATAATTCTGAAATGAAGAAAACCCTTGTATGTATTAGTAGTCGAAATTGAATCGAATAACCAAAAAAATTCTATGCTGTCGTGTGGTTATTAGTTATAAAATTTATAGTTAGCATATTGTTTAATTCGGTCCCAAATGATGTAAAGAAGTTGCATTTTTAAATAATATTTTATAGTGATAATAGCTTTCTTAAAATCTATTCTTTTACATAGATAGAGCATAAATTCTCAGATCCTTACAATTTGGAATCAGTCAGTAACCACTGCTGTCTGACACAAACAAAGCTGCATGTTAAAGTTCGTCAATATATATTCACAGCATACATCTCCAATAAAACCTCAAATAACGATTCATATATCATGGTGCCTGGTTTGCGGGAAGAAGGAGAAGCTACGTGAGTGTCCTAACTGCCCTTCGTCCTTCCACATGCCGTGCAGGAGGGAGTGGCTGGTTAATATACTACGTATGTATTAAGTGAAGTTTACAACTGTAATGACCGTTAAACCGCTTATTTCTGCAGAATTATGAATTGTGCATTTCATTTCTAATAATGCTGATTGTATATTATATTTTTAAAAGAGTAAGAAAGAAAGACAGGAATAAATTGCATATTTGAACAGAAATATTTAATTTAAAATAATTGTTAAAAAAAGTATAGAAGTTTTTTTTATTAATTTTTTTTGTTTATATGGGTGGATGAGTTCACAGCCCTCCTGGTTAAGTAGTTACTGGAACCCATAGACATCTACAACTTAAATGCGCCACCCACCTTGAGATATAAGTTCTAAGTTCTCAGTATAGTTACAACGGCTGCCCCACCCTTCAAACCGAAACGCATTACTGCTTCGCGGCAGAAATACGCGGGGCCGTGCTACCTACCCGCGTGGGCTCACAAGAGGTCCTACCACCAGTAACTACGCAAATTATAATTTTGTGGGTTTGATTTTTATTACACGATGTTATTCCTTCACCGTGGAAGTCAATCGTGTACATTTGTTGAGTACATATTTCATTAGAAAAATTGGTACCCGCCTGAAATTCGAACACCGGTGCATCGCTCAACACGAATGCACCGGACGTCTTATCCTTTAGGCCCCACGACTATATATAGAAGTATTTTTTATGTTTTTTTTTACTACACTTAGTATACATATCTGTGGTGGATAGCATATTAGTACCTCCCACCAATATGCTCTCTATGGCTTCAAGTAATCACGTCAGGGGCCTTTCATCCATTAAAATAAAATTTAATTACATTATGAATGTTAAACACACAGATCGCAAGAACCCACCACAAAAGCCCTCAAAGCAAACAACATTGGTTGAAAAGATTTTATCGAGTACTCGCACCATTTGTACTGTTAAGAAAGAGAAGGAAAATACCGAACTGTGCCCCAGTTGCATGTGGGGGCCACGGGTTGGGTAAGTGGTTTTTTTTTACCTAGTATGTGTTGATGTTGTTGACCACTTGTGCAAGCTCATTGCATACTATCTTCTTGCCATTATTTATTCTAAGGGGTCGGCGCAGGATATACATATATATTTTTTTTATTGCTTAGATGGGTGCACGGGTTCACAGCCCACCTGGTGTTAAGTGGTTACTGGAGCCCATAGACTAATACAACGTAAATGCGCCACCCACTCAGTATAGTTACAACGGCTGCCCCACCCTTCAAACAGGGCGGTGGTACCCACCCGTGCGGACTCACAAGAGGTCCTACCACCAGTAAATATGTTCTTATATATCCTTTTATTGTGCTGCATAGGGACTTGGCACCATATTTAGGACCGGTCGCTTGCCTGACGTCAATCCTCCTTGGGTCATTATCTGTAGTAGTACATTGCAACATGCCATTGGGAGGAACCTTTTTTATTACTTCTTTTGGTTTTTTTGTTCTGTATTTCTGTCTTGGTGGTTTTGGTTCATTATTTGCATATTATTCTTTTCAATATTTACACAAAATAGTTAGATTTACAAATACAAATAAAAAGCTAATAACGCTAAGAATATGATCTACCACCACTAAATGACAGTTAGCGATCGTAGTGTGCTGGTATGATACCCAGAGAACACTGTTGCTCATTCTCTGATGAATCCCTTATTTTCTGTTTACGACAACCATGGGAAGAGATGGGGTGTTCCCTCATCTTCTCTTCATCTATGCTCCTTCGCAGCTATGATGATGTAGTGTGGCACAAATTGGGGTCATGTCCGTGGTGGCCAGCCCGCGTCTTGACTCCGGGCTCCACACCCTCCTGTCTCCTCTCTCGCAGTCACACCCCACACCAGTGGCCTCTCAGATATTATGGTAAGTTTAATCTACTAATCAAACAGGTTGCTTAGCTCAATATGAACTCATCTGATGTTACCACCACTGTCAGCATAAACAACAATAGAAAGGTCAACTATGAGACAGTCTCTTATGTCTCACTCATCAAACTGGAATACTGTGAGATGCAAGATGCTGCTGGTACATCAACTACTTACACTCAAACCCGATGATTTGCCCATCAAATTTTATTGAATACCCACAAATAAGCTAAATAATTGAAGTGTCCATAGCAGATGCGGCTATAGAAGTCTGCTCGTGAAAAACACTGCCAATGTCAAGACAGCGCCATTGGCATGTTTGAAAACGATTAATAATACGTCAATCCACTTTCACAGCAACTTGACAACGGATAGTAGAGGTAAGGGAGAATTAATGGCTACAAATTGGTGGTGGGAATATTAGTAGTTAAATTTGAATTGCTTGCTGCTTTTTCTTTATTGCTAAGCTAATATAGTTCAAAGTTCAATTGGGGTAAACAAAAAGAAGATGTATCGAGCTGGTGTGGTTGATCGGTACATCAGGAGAATCATAAGGAGACAGATGTTGCCATTTGGGACTGGTATTGGATATGTCGTTAGCCTGATTCAGACTTTGCGATATTCCCTGGATTCCATGACAGATACGGCTGTCTTTGGTTGGGATTTATTTTTATTTATTGCTTAGATGGGTGGACGAGCTCACATCACAGCCCACCTGGTGTTGAGTGGTCACTGGAGCCCATAGATAACTACAACATAAATGCGCCACCCACCTTGAGATATATGTTCTAATATCTCGGTATAGTTACGACTACCCCATCCTTCAAACCGAAACGCATTACTATTTCAGGGTAGAAATAGGCGGAGTGGTGGTACTTTTTTTTTTTTTTTTTTTTTTTTTTTTTTTTTTTTTTTTTTTTTTTTTTTTTTTTTTTTTTTTTTTTTTTTTTTTTTTTTTTTTTTTTTTTTTTATGATTGAGATATTACTGGTGGCCCGGAGGCCTTTCCAGCTTCACCAGGACAGGTGGGCGAGCAAAGGCTCAGCCAGGAGGGGTGGGATTTGCTAACAGCTGCCCGAGCGTCTCCGAAGGAGACCTAACAACTCAAGAGTAGCTGCTTCGCGAATGAATCTACTACCGGATCGGAATCGCGACCCGCTGAGAAGATCCGGCGAGAAACTCAGCGAGCTGATTCATGGGTTAGGTTGCACGGCGAACTCTTTGTGGAGTTCGACGAGTACGGTTACCGAGGTCCCTAAGCCTGCTCCTAGAGCTGAAGGCGTCTAGTGCAAAGGTTATTGGATCTGATGGATCCGTAAGGACGTGTCTAGGGCGACGACGGTGACTTGCTCCTGCGTGATCAGGATTCGGGGAGTGGTGGTACCTACCCGTGCGGACTCACAAGAGTTCCTACCACCTGTATAAAAAACGTCTTATAATCCCGTCCCACCCTGCCTATTTCTGGCGCGAAACAGTAACGCGCTCCTATTTTGAGGGTGGAGCAGTTTAATGGGTGTGCTATTAAAATGCAAATGAAGCTTTGGCGTCACGTCCCAAGGCTCACATTTGAGTGTCCAAGGGATATCTTATAAATCAGTGGTCGGGGAACTTTTTTAATTATTACCCCAAAATATTTTTATGTAAGTTTATATTACCCCATAGCGAAGAACAAAAAAAACGAAATCGCTTCTTTTTAGCATCTTTCATATTATAACCCATATATATACAGTTGAGGAAAAAAAACGCCCCCATAGAAAATAGAAGTAAATGATAATTTCTTGTTTTGCGTTTGAAATCACGATTCTATAGAAGTTTCACTTCAATATATACTTTTTACTCACAAAAGTTTCATTTTTACCCCATTTGGGGTAATGTACCCCGGTTCCCCGACCTTTTTTTTTTCCTATGCTGATAGCCTTGAGAGGCTATTTCAGCTTCGCCATAACGTTTGTAGGTGAGCTCGCGGGGCTCAAACCGGAGAGTTGCTAACACTGACCCTAGCAAGAGCAGTGCTTCGCAGAATCTACCACCGGATTTTAAACGCGACCCACTGAGAAGATCCGGCGAGAAACTCAGTGGGCTGTGTCTGTGGGTTAATTCGCTCGTCGAGCCCTTCGTCGCAAGCGACGGGTTCGACGAGGACGGTGACCAGGTTCCCCGACCGCTGTTATAAATGGGTGGATTGTTAGCTGCAAAATTCCCTCGAATACCAACTATAATGGGTTATGCACTCTAGGCACTGAGAACTACTCGTGGGGGGACGCGTCGCGCATATGCCTCTTCCTGCCGGGTCACACTGCGGCATTGGAGTCGCAACAGCAAGATTTGCGTCAAGCAGTCCTCGACGCGTGCGATGATTACATTTCTGTGTACCTCACATAAAATATGATCAGCTTGGGGCCTTTACACGCAGCCTCTCGTCCTAACAGTATGCGATTCAATATTGAACATCTCCGTGTAGACCAGGGGTCGGCAACCTTTTGAGTCGGACAAGCCAAAAATTACAATTTTCAATATATTATCAAAGTTTTGAAAGAGTCACAAAATGTTTTCTTGGCCACATTAAATAGTGCTTGCATAAATAATTTTTTTTATAAAAAAAACTAATCTAATTGTTAATATGAAAAATATTTATTTTTATATAAGTAGTGTTTTTTTACAACATAGATAATATATATGGTATTATTAGATAATCACCTATTATTAAAGTATAAAATGAAAACAAACATTTACTTTTTAAAACAATGGGCTGAGAGATAGAAATGGTGGCCAACCCTCGTTAGTCGATTCAGATTTTTTTTTATTTTTTTTGATTTTATTAAATAAATAATATTTGCGTATGAAACTAAAGAGCCGCAGGTTGCCTACCCCTGGCGTAGACGAACCTTAATTGTTTAGCACCGAATGAGAATTGTTGCACTCAAAACGGTTCTATCGCGCGAGACTCACATAGGGATGTCACGTGAGGCCGTATTTTACAAATCTTGAACTCCAGCCAGTAAGCCAGAATCGTTTTGCAGTCTCAGATTTGTTATTTCTCGTCTATAAGTCAGCATTATGTTGAGATGATCTTATGGCGATTGTTGCTTGCGAAAGTAACATTTGATTTCTCATCACGACAGAAGAAACGAATTAACTAGAAAGTCAAGAGTATTTTATGGGAAAGTTTGAGATGTCATACGATTTTTTTTTTTTTAAATATTTGAGCTCTTCTTGTTTCTGCATGTCTGAATTACATTGGAACTACGAATATCACAGAAAACTAAATTTAATTCTAATCAATACAATTTGCAGACTGGCATTTTTTTTTTAAATATTGTAACGTATTCTTTTAATTTACAATTATTATTATTTTTATTAAATCCAAATTATACTCGCATTTATGACTGCTGTAAAACAATTAGGATAACGCTATAAACAAAGAATAAAAGAACTACTTATCATTTTTTTATCAATACGTGACTTCAATCACAATAGCCGGTCGACTACCCATGATAATTTTAAGATCAAAGTATTTTTATCACCAAGATTATTTTGTTGTTTTTATCGAGTAAGTACCTACTTATTGAAAAGGTGCTTATACTGCACTAAAACCGTGACTTTTATGCATCAAACCACAACCCACATTTAATAAAGCTCATTACATTTTTTTTTATTACTAGTATGGGTGGACTAGCTCACAGCCCACCTGGGGTTAAGTGGTTACTGGAGCCCATAGACATCCACAACGTAAATACGCCACCCATCTGGAGATATACGTTCTAAGGACTCAAGTATGGTTACAACGGCTGCCCCACCCTTCAAACCGAAACGCATTACTGTTTTACGGCAGAAATAGACAGGGCGGTGGTACCTACCCGCGCGGACTCGAGAGGACCTACCACCAGTAATTACGCAAATTATAATTTTTGCGGGTTGATTTTTATTACACGATGTTATTCCTTCACCGTGGAAGTCAATCGTGAACATTTGTTGAGTACGTATTTCATTAGAAAAATTGAAGTTTTTTTTTTATTATGATATTTTTTTCAAATTTTAAACTTTAAGAAATGACTCTGCTGTAAATTTGAAAAAATGTCGCCAATAAAAAACCAAAGAACCCGTCACCCCTCGATATAATTAATATTCAGTTGTTTGCTAATTAAATACGTACATACACATGATCCGCTGCCAAATGCTGTATGGGTAGTTTAAGTTCTGTAGTCATTAGAACTTCCATAACACACCTACTTGTATTTATTAAAGAATCCAAAGTACCTAATTAAAATAATAAACTAAATGGCGTTGACCATTTTGTTAACTATAAAAGTTACTTATTTTGTTGTTCATTTGCGTTTAAATCTTAAAAAATCATTTGAATATCGAATAAACCTTTTAATAATCGATTAATCACGTTTTGAATTGTGTTTTTTTTTAAAATACGCTATTAAATATATGGCAATAAGCCTTTTATCAAAAGGATTATATCAATATTTTGATTTAAATTGACTTAATGCTAACTTTTCATTTAGATAAAAGTTATCCACAAGATAATTACAATGTGACTTAATATGAAAATGCGACTATTCAATTGTTTTACTCAAACATCTGTATTAGGTACATATCTTAAGAACAAAAAACTTTTATTTTAAATTAAATTAATCAGTTTTTAATAAAATGTTTACAACAATGTACCAATGTATTTTTATTAACATCTTGCAACCTTATTTTTGGATAATAAAGGCATAAAATTAAATATACACAACTTCAGTCATTCAAATTGAATGGTCCTTGTACACTTCATACGCGATAGCAGTTAAATTTCCGCCTAAACCAGGGGCTCCCAAACCTCTTTTGTCTACTGCCCACTTTGAAAATATTTTTTTTATCGCCCCCATTTTTTCACATACCTAAAAACCACTATAGTGAGAGTTTAGTCGGTGTCTAAGAGTCCTCTTGGATGAAATTACAAATCGCCTCCCAAGCTTCTTCACAACGCTCCCATTTTTTTTCTGGGTTGTTACCGCCCCCCTTAAGGGCTGCAGTGCCCACAAGGGGGCGTTATCGCCCACTTTGGGAAAGGCTGGCCTAAACTTATTTTTTCTTGTCTTCTTCTTTGCCTTCGTTTGTTCGTTAATGTTTTAATCTTTTGGGTCTCTTAGAAATATATCGCACATACGTTGCTATAAATAACATCACTTATGCAAATTATGTAATTTTTCAGGAGAAGCTTTGGAAAATTCAACATCTTAATACAATTTTAAAGTTTTACTCGACTAAAGAAATAATTATGATAATATTTGAACTACAACTTTACACTTTATATTATTAAAAGCAAACATTCCACAAATAAATATGAATAAATGGATTATCTCAAACTCTGTTCAGTTTTAACAGGACATAAGTGACATAATAGCACCGTATGTGCGATATTCATTCGCAGTATCTTCGGATTTCTCGTCTTTCTCAGAGTCTACTATAGTAGGGGAGCCCAAGCGGAGATTTCGGGATTTACTAAAGCGCGGCAGATTAATATACAGGGGGATGGGATACCTTGTACCCGTTTGAGTACCTCCACCAAATATGAGCCCCATATATAAGGCCGCGCGTCAAGGATAAGGGATAAGATTATTAAAAAAAAATCGATCATCACAAAATCTCGAGCGCATCAGATTAAGGTATGGTGAGTTAATGACATGTTAAAAAATTTATATTGCACTAATCTGACAATTTGAGACTAGATATTCCGGCCCTCTAGTATTGGAAATCGACATCATTACTTCAGTGCGCCACGTAGGGAACCGGTGTGATCTACATGGCGTTCAAAGGGTAAATATTAAAATTTTATATTGTATAAAGGGTAAATATCTACTGGTGGTAGGACCTATTGTGAGTCCGCGCGACTAGGTACCACCATCCCGCCTATTTCTGCCGTGAAGCAGTAATGCGTTTCGGTTTGAAAGGCGGGGCGGCATTGGGACATCAACGGCATAAATGTGCCGCCCACCTTGAGATATAAGTTCTAAGGTCTCTCAAGTATAGTTACAACGGCCCATGCTCCAGTGACCACTTCACACCAGGTGGGCTGTGAACTCGTCCACACATCTAAGCAATAAATAAATAATTTTTTATGCAATATGAATTTCATATCGTAAACTATGCTTTTATGCATCTATGCTTGTACAAAATAACATCAATCACAACTGCCAGTCTTCCGCGATGGCCATTTTTTTTATATTTGTATCAAGACATGAAGTCTGGCTTGACGGAAAGGAACATTACTCCAACGTAATTGAGATTGGGACGTGGGGGTAAAACGGTGATACATATATGCGTTCCGTTAGCCGTTTATCAGGCTGACGAGCGTGAGCACTCGTGAACATCACTTATGACCTACAAATTTCAAAACTGTCTTTCCTATTACTGGACCAACACATTCAGTCTTTAAAAAAAATAATTTAAACAAACCGATTAAATTTAGACAATTTTATTCATCACTTAATAAAAAATAATACTTTTTACATTTTTATAACAACAACATTTCGCAAAAGCATACTAAACTTATCTGTCATTGTGATACATGATATTATTGTACTTAAGTTAAAAAAAAAAACAATACATTTAACATCTGTACATCGTTCGGTAACGTAAAGTTATTGCCATGTCATTGTCATGATAATAAATTTTATCTTGACAATGACAATGCATGATCACAGTGGAATGTTCCATCATCCTATTCTTGTCGCGAAGCAGTCCACTATTCCAGCACGAAAAATTAGATGATCTTAAGATGTATTCACACTGTGATAACTGGGCTATGTATGGTAACTGCTTAACACCTTCAAACGAGGCTTACGGAATGCAATCAGATGCAGTGGCTTGGTTGGCACTGGCATTGCTGTTTATGAGCGATGGTAACCATTCACCATCAGGCCGTATGCTCGTGTGATTACATGGGGAAAAAAACAAAAAAAAAACATCAAATGGTTCAAAGATGACGTCACAATAATAGGTGTTTTTTTTTGTTTCTTTCAAATAATGATTCTAAATAAAATTTCACTGGTATTAGGCACAATGCAATCTAGTTTAAATCACTCGTCATTTGAAGATAACATAAACAAAAAATGTTATTGCTTATTTTAATATATTAAAACTTTTCTAATCTTTTCGCTAATAAAATAGGCAATCAGACAATAACTACCTATCTATAATACAAAGAAATAAAATTGAAATGTTTACTAATTGTAATATCAAAAGAACAGCTCTTCAACAAATGCATCTAAAGTAAATACGGTACATACTTATAATATTTCTGTCTGTTTGTTTGTTTCCACAAATCCCGGGAAACGGCTAAAACAAATTCGACAGATAGGTATTAACTAGCAGATTTTATAAGGAATAACTTAGGCTACTTTTATTTTAGAAATATATCTCTAGGGTTCCGTGGAAAAATTAAAGATCGTGTAATTTTGAATAAAATGTTTTTTTTTTGTTTTTTTTTTTATTGCCTTTGTAGGCAGACGAGCATACGGCCCACCTGATGGTAAGTGGTCACCGTCGCTCATGGACGTCGGCAATGCCAGGGGCAGAGCCAAGCCGCTGCCTACCATGTTAACT